GCAGACCAAATCAGTATGGCTCGGCCTTCAGGAAACCTCAGTCCCTCTACAAGTCACAGGTGCCACGGCCACTGGGGACCTGTACCCAAAAGCAAGGCTAGTCTGCCTACTCCCAGAAAGAAACCATGACGCTGTATGTACACCCGCTTCAGAAGGTCTTGTGCTGCTCAATCCAGCCGAACTCCCCGAAGGACTGGCCGCCTCACCAGCAGCGCTCGCCGTATTGCCCTCTCCCTCGATGCCTGCATGCTCCACGGCTTCCTCAGCATCAGGTCCTTGACTAGTCTCCACCACGGTGGCAGCGCTCGGAGCCAGTCCTTCTTGCCCTTCACAATTTCCCGCATCACCCCTTGGCTCCTTGGGTTCACTTTCCGGCTCCACGTCATCATAGACGCCATTGTCCCAGTCACGCTGGCTGTAGAATCTGCCCAGGACGCCATAGCCGAGTCGCTTGCCAACCAGTCGATCAGTGATTTTGCCTTGCTTCCAGAGCTTGACAGCTCCGTAGCCATGAAGTCTTCCACGGAGAAGTCCTTGGGCATGGAGTTGTCGAACTCATCCCAGAGTTCTGGCGCCATCTCCCCCGTCACAGGCAACAACTCAGCTGGTGATCCAGGACCCATCTCTTCCGGCGGTTCTTCCACAGATCTTTCCACCACTTGTCCTTCTCCCTGGCCACCAGCTGCACTAGCCACTGCCGGCTCTCCTGAGGATGCCGCTGTGGGATCGTACTCCCCCGCCTGGTCATCTTCATTCTGGATCACGCTGACACTGTACGACAATCGTTCCCCTTCCTGCAGTCCAAACAGCCAGTTTTCCTTCTTTATGATTCTTCCACCTTCACCCTGCACCATGATCTGCACCCTCGCCCTTTTTCTCTTGCCTTGCAGGAAATCATCTTGCGAAGCCGCCCACTGCTCCCATGTACGGAGTTCAGCCACATGGAACTCCTCCCAGTGGTTTCGTTCCTCCATCCGCAGCGTCTCTGCCGCAATTTCTTCCATGAGCTCGTTCTCCAAGAGTTCTTGTTGTTCTTCCTCCGACAGCTCTCTTTGCGTACCATTCTGCAGCACTACCACCTGTTTCTTGCTTCCATCGTCAGCAACTGGTTCCTGACTGTCCACTACCATGATGGTCTCATTCTCCGCACAGCTCGGTTTGGGCCTGTCCTCCTTTTTCATTCCATCTGGCAAGCCAACATTCTCCAGGCAGGGCATCAGATCCTGCCACGCGGGCAGACACCACTGTTCTTCATCTCCCCGAAGTTCCTGTTGCTCCGCCTGGAAGACTGCCATGAGGGCACTCAGTCGGTCGTAGCGGTCCACTAGCTTTGGGTTTCGTAGGTGCGGCGCATTTCTTCGCTGGTCCATCATCATCTGTTGGAGGAAACCACTAAGCCTGGCAGCCTTCGCCTTGGCCATGTCATCCAGCTTCACCAGGAGTCGCTGCAGGACTGTTTCAAAGTCCTCTGTTGGCATCCTCTGCATGAGGACTACATCATCATCTCCTGGCCGTTCTTCTTCTTCCTGATCTGCATCCATGACATCCTGCTCCGTGGCTCCCGTTCCCTGATTGGCTTCGCGAGGTCCAGCTGCCTCTGGTTCAATGTACCCCACGTTGGAGGTGCCACTTGTCCCTGGTCTCTCCTTTCCTCCTTCCACCCCTTCTTTCTGGGTGTCCAGCGCGTGAGGGTCTTCCTCGATCGTCCTGGTGATCACAAAGAGCTCGAGTACTTCCTTTCCCCATCTTGCGAGCACCATGTCGTCATCCACTTGACCTGACTGCCAGTTGAGGTACCACCTGCTGCCGTGTTCGGACTGGAGGAAGGCATCTAGGTCTTCCGGGGCCTCTGCGTTTTCCAGCTGCTGCGCAATCTGGTGGTCCGGGACAGGGACAGTGTCCGGCGTTGGTGGACCAAAGACGCCGTGCTCTCTGCCGTCTGCACGAGGATTTGGTGACTCATGGCCATAGTGACCATCGGATCTGCAGCGACCGGCATGGTACCTTCAAGCGTTCCTTCCGCTACTGTGCCACCTCCCGCCATCCCCAGGACCATGGTGACACGGACTCTCTTCATGGCAGGCTCGGGCACCACGTTCATCTCGCTGGTCATTGCCCAGTCTTCCCATTGCTGCATCTGACTTGCCCTGAACCTTTGATACGCTTCTTGGTCTTCTCTTTCCTGCTGGGCTTTTTCTTCCCTGACCTGTTCGTCATGTTGCCGTAGTTCCTGTACTTCACTTGGCGTCGGCTTTTCCCGTGGTAGGTCAGGCCCACGTCTGACCAGGACGCCTTCTGTCGCATCTTCCTCATCGAGCGCTCCTGCGGCTTCTCCGGAGCTGCTGGCTCTTTCACGCATGTGACTTCCTCCTTGGTCCTCAGAGAGGTAGGGTAGTACTCCAGCCCACAGCTAGTTCGGCTCCCATTCATAGCTATCCTCCCTGCATGAGGTCTCGTCCTTGGAGATTTGTCCATCTGCGTGATATGCCACCAGCAGTGCCGCCAGCCTCGATTTCCTGTCGGTAGTCCGCTTGCCTTTGTCTGCAACCCCCCATGTTGTCCAGGAGCTTGGTCATGCCCACGGCAGCTCTGGCCGCTCTTTCTTTTCCCATCTTCTCAAGGTCATTCTGCAGCTGCAGCAGGACTTTGCAAAGCTCCCAGGCCCCACGCTTAGAGCTTGCTGCATGAGGTGCACGATTTCACCATGCTCAGCATCATGAACTGCCCGTAGCAATTCGGCTATAAATAAGCCTACAAAGCTCAGTAGGCTTTGCACCGTCCTCGCGCGTTCAACTTCTCCTTGACCCTGGAGATTGGAGATAATCGTATTTGTTGTATTTGGACCCAGTACGTTGAGCCCCTTCGTGGAGTTCATAGGGTTCGTCAACCCTACAACATCCGTCCACCAGCGAATCCGCGGGTCTAAGTCGTCCAACCCGGGAATGAACCCAGCTCCGCCTGCACCAGCAGAAGAGCTGGCCGCCGCCGGCTCCTCTTCATCAAGGCAGACCTCAACCTCGTCATCCTTGGCCACCTTGGAGCTTCGAGACCACGGTGCCGGCGGGAACAACCTTGTAGAGCTAATTCTTGTCCGAGTCAGTGCCGGTGCCCTTGATGGGGCGCCCATTGTGGTCCATCTTTCGCGATTTGCGGCTCTTCGCGCCTCCTCTGCCATTCTGCCTCTCCTTCTTCTTCGTGGCGTAGGTGACCTTCCCCTCTTTCGTCGCTGCATCAGGGCCAGGTAGTCAGTGTCTTCGTAGCCACCCTCCGCATCAATGCCCTCAGCAATGTTGCCATCGACTTTGGTACCTTCGGCCTCGTACTGCTGGGCATGCCCATGGTCCCCACTACCCTGTAGAGCCGGCCATCCTGAGGAAGGGTCTGTGAGGCACACTCTCTTCCATTCTACATATTCCGCACAGTCAATGGTCAGATTCATGCCGCCGGTCAGGTACTTGTAGTCGCCTGCCATCCCTTCCTGACCCATAGCTTCATTCTTGGCCATTGACCACCTCCACGCATGTTGTAGGACAGGCACAAGTTGGAGACATATCAGTTGTCACANNCGAGAAGGTATAGGGTTTAGGGTTTAGGGTTTAGGATTTAGGGTTTAGGGTTTGGGGTTTAGGGTTTTGGGGTTATATAAGGTTTAGGGATTTAGGGGGTGAGTTTAGGGTTTAAGGTTAATGGGATTGGGGCTTAAGGTTTAGGGGTTTATGGGGTTTGGGGTTGAGGGTTGAGGGTTTAGGGGTTAAGGCTTAGAGGTGAAGGGAATGAGTTTAGGGTTTCAGTGCTGGGGCTCATCATAAGGGGTATCGGGGATAGTAAGTAGACTCACTAAGTCACAAGATCATCCAAGTAGACTTTCGCGGGGGAGCTGCGGCATGGAAAGGAAAGTGCACTGCCATGAGGTCTAGGGGTTTTAGGGTCTAAGGGTATAGCTGCCGCATGTTAGAGGGAAGCCGCCCAAAAAGTAGACTTCAACCTAATCCCTCCTAAACCCCAAAAAGCAGTTTCCATTGTATTTTCCATTATTCCTATATAACCCCAGATCTATACCAACCCTAAACCCTGAACCCTAAACCCTGAACCCTGAACCCTAAACCCTATAACCAGTATATACTATAACATACACATTGCAGTTGCCCTGACTTAGTCTTGGTCTAAGATGGAGCTGACAAGATTTTGGCATAAACTTACACATAAACATACCATAGATGTGTATATATGCCCACATGTATGTACAGCACCCACCTTCCAGAGATCGCTCTTAGGAGACTCCTTCAGCCAATGCAAGACAGTGGCAGCTGCTGAAAAGGTCGAAAGGGCTTCCCGACCTGCATATTTTAGGGTTCTTGACTTTCTGGGCATAAAGGCAGGTGCCTGCTTCAAGAATATGCGAAACCTCCGTAATTCCAGATTTGGGTGAGGGTTCCGGGTTCAGCGGGTTGATGTGGGCCCTCGGGTTTAGGGGGTTGATGTGGCCCCCCCCCTCAAAGAGCCCAGCCAACCCAAATTCCAAAGAAATCTCAAGAGCCTCAATTGCATCTGATAATCTTTATACAGGTCCCACTAGTCCCTAATGATTAGGGAGTTCGGGGATGGAAGTGCGCCTGTAGGGGGGCCCGATATACATAGATTTTTGCTTGGTTGGCCTTCAGAGACCTTCGAAAAATATTAGTATAGATGGCTCCCTATAAAACCTATATGGTGATTGTTCAAAATACTTGTCCCCAAAATGTCCATACTGTAGGTTCCTGTTTGGTTAGGACCCTCTTTTAAAGAAATGTATTCCCAATGGTCCCTTCTTTACAAGGACCTTTAGAACAACCCCCATATGGGAAAATATTTAAGAAACCCAAAGGCCTACCCAGTTTGCCTAGTCTCCCACGTCTTCATGGTCATATTCCCCCTAGGTAGATAGAATATGCTTTGGGTATATTATAAGAAGATCCCCGCATACCCCAAATTCTATCTACTTAAGGGGGACTATAGTTACCAGCATTCTGATCCTAGATTCCCTCCATCAGTAATGTATCTAGGTACCTCAGTAGTACCCTTTTCCCCTTTTTAAAGGGGGACTATAAGGGCAAATGCTGGCACTTAGGTTGATGACCCCAAGGTATGGATCTCCAACGCGGGAAAACCTGCAGTCCCTTAAGAAATGAGAGTTTAGGGTTAATAGGGTTCACGGGTTTAGTGTTTCATTCAATCATTGATATCTTGTGGTGGGTACATGACAGGCTTCTTGCTGGTTAGGTTCACAAGGCGCACCGGCATTTCGAGAACCCTCAACCTCAACCCTAAAGACTAAACCAGGACCCGAAGCCCCAAACCCGCAACCAGGAACACTAAGTCCTAAAGCCTCTCCACCTTGATATGTATTTAAATATGTATTACAACTCAAACCCTGAACCCTAAACCCTGAAACCCCTCTTTTTTGAGATGCCCAGATCTGCCTCAAGTTCGATCCCAGGCTGCGGCAGCTTGTCGTAATGAGCCAGATCGTAAGCCATGGGAGCGTGGTAGTAGGGGTAATACCAACTCCTTTTCGGAAGGATTTGGGCTCTTGGCCTAGGGGAGGAGGGGAAGGGCTCAGGGTCTTCTGAGCTTAGGGTTCCCTTAGAGGAGGATATAGGGTTACATAGAGATACACAACAATTTAAGGTTTGGGGTTCAGGGCTGAGGTTTCCAGGGTTAGGGTTAGAGTTACCACAGTCCGGCTCGTTTGGAGTTAAGTCTTAGGCTTAAGGCTGCAGGGTTTCGGGTAGGAGAAACCCTATACAATAAGGCTCCCCAATAGGCATACACATGCATCCCTGCAGGTGGACTTTTGCGGTGTGGGAAACCCTAAAACCTAATCTCTCCAGCATTCGGGGCTTAAGAGAAGGAGCGTTCTGCCACACGGTTAAGGGTTTAGGGTTTGGGCCTAAACCCTAAACCCTAAACCCATAAAACCCTAGAGCTTAGGCCCTAAACCCCCAAACCCTAAACCCTAAACACCTAAACCCTAAACCCCTCAACCCTAAACCCCAAAACCCTAAACCCTAAACCCTATTAATGCTAGCTCCTTGCAGGACCGTGTCAGGATCCTATCTCCAAAGAAGGGTCCCCCTAACTACTGCCAAAATAGGTCTAGCGTTTAGGGTTTGGATTTAGGGTT